GGGGGCAATATGCTGACTCTGTAAACCGCTTAGAGAGGGCTGAAAGCCCTATGAAGTGGTATATAAGTCTAACTGCTATTGCTATTGCTATTTCTTGGGTTTTTTTTCTTTGAAGGTGTTTTGCTTCTCACCAAAGAAGCTCGATGGTGGGAAACAGAAGGATTTATACTCGTCCGTCATTTGCATTTGCTGTAGTCAAGACATCATCCAGACTAGCACAATGTTACCTGGTTTGGGTAATGAAACATCTGCAAGAAAACAAGCAAGCTCAGAGAGCACCAAAGACCGCACAGTTATCTTCCTCTTCCTCCTCCTCCTCCTTCCACAAACCCACTGCCTTTTAGCTTTGATGTTACCTTGCTTGGATAATGAAACATCTGTGTGAAAACAAGCAAGCTGAGAGAGCACCAAGGACCCCACAGTCCTCGTCCTCCTCCTTTCCACAAGCCCTTCTGTCTTTTAGCTTTGATGATGTTACCTAGTTTGGTAATGAAATGTCTGCAAGAAAGCTCAGAGAGCACCAAAGATTCCATAATTAACTCAATTTATCTTCAAACCAGGAAAAAAAACATTCCTAGTCCATGAGAAGACCTCAATGCCTAGGCAGCCTCTATTGCCTTGGGGATGGTGGTTGGGGTGGGAGGGATGAAATATAACCCCGTCCAGTAGCGACCACCACCACCCCGTCGCCAACACGCATGCGCGCCTCCCCACGTGACACACACACACCCCTCTCCCTGCTGACGCCGTCCTCACCTTACTGCCGCCTCCCGGAAGAGGCTCGTAGCCCGCTTCAGCGTCGCCAGCCCGTCGTCCGGCAGCATCGCCGGCTCCGAGGCGCGTTCTGCAAAGCGCCTCAACTCCGCCGCCAGCCCGGGCAAATTTTCCCCGCCCGCCGCCATGGCGAAGGGAATGAGAGGGAGGGAGGGGGAGCGTCTGTCGCGATCCCCGGAGTTGCGTGCTCGGGTCAGAGGTCACGAGGGTTCCCTGGAGAGAAGCCGTGGGGCGCTCCGGGCACCTCTTTCTCTTTCGTTCTCGACGCGTGCGTCTCCCCTCCCGCACATGCGCAGAAAATCGCGGTGGCCTCGCGTTGCCGTGGTGTAACTGCGTCCATTGCGACGCTTAACTCGCCTGCTTTGGGCAGTGAAAGACACGCATGCGTGGACTTCTTGCAGACGTTTAAGAATAGAATAAATTTAGAATAGAATAAGAATATAAAATAGAATAAGAATTTAGAATAGAACAGAAGAATAGAATAAGAATAAGAATTTGGAATAGAACAGAGTAAGAGTAGGATAGAATAAGAATTTAGAATAGAATAATAATATAGAATAAATTTAGAATAGAACAGTAGAATAGAATAATATAGAATAGAATAACCATTTGGAATAGAATAGAATAAGAATATAGAATAAGAATTTAGAATAAAATAACAATTTGGAATAGAACAGAATAAGAGTAGAATAGAATAAGAATTTAGAATAGAATAATAATATAGAATAAGAATAAGAATTTGGAATAGAACAGAATAAGAAAAGAATAGAATAAAAAATTAGACTAGACTAGAATAAGAATTTAGAATAGAATACAAAACTGCACAAAAATGAAGACATTTAAAGATACCAATTTAGTATTAGCAATCAAAATGCAAGCACAGAATAGAATAGGAATAGAAATAGAAACATAATTCTTTATTGGTCAAGTGTGATTAGGCACACAAGGAAATTGGTGAATAGGCTCTCAGTGTACATACCACAATAGTGGTAGAAATAGTCATTGTAAAAATACATTCACCGTAAAACATTAAATATGACGCTTATTTGAGTTATGTCGTCATCTCATGACGCCACGTGGCTTCCCAATGGAGCAGTTACCCCTCTTGCACCATCCTCTGCGCACCCAATAGAACTACAGTTGGAAGGAAATTTGCAGGTCACCTAGTCCAATACCATCACTCCCGCCACCCAAGCAGAAGACCCTATACCATCTCTGACAAATGGCAGTCCAGTCTCTTCTGGAAAGCGTCCAGTGATAGGGCAGCCACAACTTCTGAAGCTGTTCCATTGGTTGATTGTTCTCACTGTCAGAATATTCTTCCTTATTTCTAGGTTGAATCTCCTTGATCAACAGTGGTCAAAAGCCTGGGGATATTCAATGTGAAATAATAAATATATTAAACAAGAATATTCCAATCTCAAGAGGAGGGGGTTGGGTGATCTGCTAAGGTGAAAATCCATGCAAATATCTTGCATTCCTTGAACATTTTATTCTCAGGTAAGATAGAAATGATGCTGCCAGTTCAAACACTTTTGCACAACCATTCGGTATCGCGCTACAATGATTCCATGTATTCTATACCACTGAAAGTAATAATACGCAATAACAATATGCAATAAAAAGCAATGCACTCTGAAATAATATGGAACACCAAACACCAAAAAGGCCGAGAAAGAGAAGCAAAGTAAAAATAATAATGGCAGCCTTCACTGTGCTGTAGTCTCATTTTTATACATGTGTACAAAAAAGGGGCCTGGCTTAAGTGCACTTCCATGGCTGTCGTTTGCCTTCTAGAGCCCAGCGGAAATGCCTGTTATGATCATCAGAGTCCCTCGCAGGGATGAAATTCAGCAGGTTCTGACAGGTTCTGGAGAAATTTTGAGTAGTTCAGAGAACTGATAAATACCACCTCTGGCTGGTCCCAGGGTGGGGTGAGAATGCAGTTTTTGCATTATCCTTTCCCCAGGAGTGGGGAGGGAATGGAGATTTTGCAGTATCCTTCCCCTGCCACGCCCACCAAGCCATGCCCACAGAACCGGTAATTTTAAAAATGGAATTTCACCACTGGTACCTCTGCCTATTTCTTTTTAATATTTTTTACTGAAGGAAATTTGATTTGATTTGATTTGATTGTATTTCTATGCCGCCCTATTCCCAGAGGGACTCAGGGCGGCTCACAAACCAAGTAAAGGAGGGGGGGATACAAACGGGGAAAAAAGACAATGGACAAACAACATAACAATTTCCTTCAGTAAAAAATAT